AAGTAGATAAGGGTCAAATATGATTACATTCTACAAGCTATTGCTGCTCTCGACCGGTTGAACATGTAGGCCTCCTCCCCCTCTGTCATCGTTCATCAACTTTTTTAGGGATCGGTATTGCAGCCGCACGTTGTCTCCGCTCTCAACAATCTTTAATAGATACCTTTTATCCCAACGAAGAAAAAAAAAATGAATATCGATTAGTCTTGAGAATCAGAACTCAACAACTCTTTTCAAATACAAAGCATTGTTTTCTTTCAGCTCGTATAAAGTTACCAGCCATTGAGACATTGAGATGTCACGATTGCTTCTTTTCCCACAAACTTTTCCGGGGTTCTCCGGTTTCCCTGCAATTGGAAGTGTGTTTCATAGCGCTAGAACCAAAACTACATGATGGAAGAAATACGTCAGAAGCCAATATATGGAAATAATGGCCTACCTTGATAAGCACTTTCTCGTTTACAGCAAATGGATAATGCACCACTCGATGCAATCCATCATCCGTAGCTGGATCTCCATTTTCCTGCAGGGAGAAATTTGGGATCAACTATCAAGTCGTAACTTCTATCAGAAGTCCACCAACCATATAAGATACAGTAAACAGAAAAAAAGACTGATAAAGCTTGGACCTAGTAATATGAAACCGAAAACCACCAAAGAGGTACAAAGCAATTAACTATATAGAGCAGTGTGAGATCATCTCACCACATCCATTTGATCACTCATCTCTTTTCTACGCCTCCGCATGGCTGCATTGTGGAAAAGTCTTTTATCATCCTGTTGCTTTATAGCAGAAGCGGCAGCTCTAAGAGCTAGGTGTTTGACATAAGGAAAAAAAAACGGTTAGGATAGTTTGTGTATGTCAAAGGCATAAAGACAACTCTGTTGGTCGAATCATTTGTCGAGGAGCAAAGATAAAAAGAGAGTGAAGCTTTATGGGAATTACCATGGTTAGGGACCAGAGACCCAGTGTCAATTTCGGTATTGCAGAGCGTACATCTAGACTGTGCAGAAGATAATTGTGGTTACTAAATATTCTTGAGAATGTAGGAGGAACCATCACATGAAACTAGTATATTAATACAGTTAAAGGAAACCAACACCAACCATTTCAAGGACTCTTCTAAGCATGAGGCCACCAAATGAATGTCCACAAGAGACAACCATTGCATCTTCGAGAAAAGCACCACTAAACATCAAAGAGATAGCAAACAGACAAATTAGAAACCTTCTTTCACTGCCGGGTACTTTTTCCGTGATCAGATTAACGTCGATACGCAATTCATCCAAACAAACCAATAAGAATAGAGGAGATTCCTTCGTCTTAGGTTTATAATATACAGGAAGGTAAAAGTGGTACTCACGAAATTGGATCTGAAAGAACACTTCTTAAGGAAGGCTCTTTGCAAACATCATCCCGCGAAACCTGACATCCACAATTCAGAAGAAGATCTCTTGACATAAGACCTTTTGCACTGAGCAGTTAACAGCTAACATAGAAACCTATATAATTATAGTATTGAGGTAGTGCCAATAATAAAACAGATCCAGATGAAAGGAGATCAAGATATAATGTGTCAAACAAATATAATGTGCGTTGACCATCAGCTCACTTAAATCTAGATCAAGAAATTGTATCCTCGATACACGTTTCCGCTCCAAATATAAAGGCAAAAGACAGATTTGGTACTATTGGCACAACTTCACAGATATCAAAAATATCTACGTTTGAATGTATATGTACTTTTCCAATCTAGACTATTAGTTCTACTATTGTAAGAATGGATGAGCTTACATTGGTTTTCACAGGCGGACTAACTAGAGTGTCATTCTCAGCCAAGAGGTTATCCATAAACTGACTGACAGATACCGGCACATAGCTTTGAGGAATTACATGGCCAGCTGCTTCTATTGGGGAACAATCTAATATAGCATTACTTTTCGGCATAAGCCTAAATGCCAGTGATGCCCTGCAAGTGAAAAGTTCAACAGTTTAGTAAAAAATGTAAGCATGCATTTGTGTCATAAATTTTATTATTGAAAAGCTTATTATCTCTTCAAACATACCTTCCACGAGTGTCACTGCCAGACAAATGATCAGTAGTAGCTCTATAAGAGGCAGCTGGACGGAGACCTGCAGTAGCATGACTAAGCGCTTTGCCAGTAATCAGTAAGATATCAGCAACCCCACATCCATTATCTGCTGTGTACCAACGACCATTTGAGTCACATACCTATGGACAGAAGAAATTTCAGAAAGAACAAAAAAGCAAAGTTCTTTCAAGCAAACAAGGAAAATTAGTATTATGGCTGACTATGTCAGATTCATATGAAAGTATTCTTGAGCAACTATATTGTTGTCGAAAAAATAAACAAAGTAATGTTTTCCCATCAAATTCCTCACTATAATTAAAGCATACATGCATCCTTCAACACACAAAAAGCTCATAGAGATGACCTGAATGCCAGTGCCATCTGAGCAGAACAGTGTCAACAAACCCTTCTCCATTTCAATATTAGTGGATAGATTCCCACCTCCAGAAGCAGGCTTTCCATTTTGGATTGATGCATGAGCATATGAAGCCAATAGCACAGACGAGGAAACCTCGTTCGGAGCTAGTGGAAAGTCGTCGAGCATATGGTTAAAAACACTGCCAAACAGATACCCATTCAATGAGTTCACACAAAAATCGTAATACTTTAGTAGTAGTAAACCAGAGATAAATGCATCATAACCATCCTACTCGCTTCTTAGACGTAGATGCCTTGCTATTGCAGATAAAGCTGCTCGTGCTACTTTACCCAAGCACCGGAAAATCTCAGCCATGCAAGGAGGCGACGAATCTAAATCTTCAACAGATCTGTTCAGAGGAGCATTATATAACATATATATCAGAACTGAGTCTACATTCCCAGAATCTCAACCATGACCAAGGAAAAGTACTACATTCAAAGCAACTATCCAATTTCAAGCGCAAAACCAATCCTTTCTACAAGAACAAAACCACTGACCACTCAAGAAAAATGCAAGAACAGAGACCAAAAATAGCTAACCTTCCGGCTCTGTACAAAGAGAGGCCACGATTGCCTTTGCCAGATACATTAAGGCTTCTAGTTCTGAAATACAAGCGAGCAGCTTCAAGGCCACATCTCATAAGTGCAACGTCTTCGCTCCCTAGCTCGATCACGGAAGCGTTATACCTCATCAAAGACACAGACAAAGCCTCCACGGCTTTACTGTACGCCGGAGAAGGAGCCCCTTCATAAGGCAGAATATCAGATAATCGAACCCTAGCGAGTGGACTCCCTGACATCATTAGCATAGGATCGCCGGAAGGGTAAGCAGCGGAAATCGGCGTCACTGTAATCGGATGAGACAAAGGAGACTTAGTCAAGCCGGTAGATACATCGGCGGCGTTAAAGCTTGAAGGTGTGATCGGAGACGAGCCCTGCCGGTGCATCGCCACTCCAATCAACCATACGTCTCTAGGGTTTTTCCGATTCCGGGTCTGTTTCCGGCGTCGGTAAAACGGATTGGAACACAACGGTGTCTCGTTGAAGTCGTCGAGATCGTCGTTTCAGAGACGAATTGGAATTTCACTGTACGGAAAAGCCTTATTGGTGGTCCAAATTGGGTAGACGATGACTAGCTTGGTTAGCAATTGCAACCATCAACGACCCTCGACGGGTAAATCGCCGTCGATGAAATAGAGATTCTAACCGGGAAAGTTGGATTCGCCGGAGAATTGAGGTTCTGAAATTTTCTAAATGAAGACTC